TTCCAGCCCTTCAAGGCGTCGGGAGTGGATTGGATTTCACCAGCATTTCTGCAACGCGGGCTGGAGCCAATTATGCCTTTCTTAATAAGAATATTTAGTAGTAGCTTGGCTCTCGGATACATTCCCGGGTCCTGGCGGGTAGCTAGGGTTGTCTTTATTCCCAAAGTGGGAAGAAGGAAAATGGTGCCCAAGTCATCCAGACCGATTAGCCTCACTTCGTTCTTATTGAAGACGATGGAGAAAATAATTGATAACCATGTCCGGGTGGGGGTGCTGGCGAGGAGGCCGCTGAAGGATTGCCAGCATGCGTATCGGGCAGGGAGGTCGACAGAGACCGCTCTGTTTCGCCTTGCCAGTACCCTAGAAAGCGCAATAGAGCAGGGAGAGGTGGCGCTATGCGCGTTCCTGGATATCGAGGGGGCCGTCGACAGCACTTCTCATGAGACGATTGCTGGCGCCCTGAAGCGTAGGGACGTGGATAATAGCACCTCTCTATGGATGTCCAATATGTTGGCTACGAGAGTAGCAGAGACTGCTGTGGGGCAGAGCACCCTAAGAAGGCGCGTGGCCAGGGGATGCCCATAGGGTGGGGTTCTGTCCCCGCTAATGTGGAGTTTGGTGATGGATGAACTCCTTGATGAGCTGCTTCGTCAGGGAATTGGTGTCCAGGCTTATACCGATGACATAGTCATCATCGCTAGAGGTAAATTTGAGGGAACTCTTTGTGATATAGTCCAAAGCGGATTACGGGTGGCCCAGGCCTGGTGCAACACTGTGGACCTTAGGCTTAACCCTAACAAGACGGCTCTGGTGCCTTTCACTAGGAGAAGGAAGCTGGAGCATCTGCGCACAATGTACGAATGCGGAGCGACTGTAGAGAGAAAATCGGAGGTCAAATACTTAGGAGTAGTGTTTAATTCCAAGCTTTTTTGGCGAAGTCACGAGGAAGCTGTGTGTACACGGGCAGTCCGGGCGCTTATGGTTCGCAGGGCCATCTCGGGCAGGTCGTGGGGCTGCTCCCCGTCTATCATGTGGTGGATGTATACCATGATGGTCGTGCCGCTCCTAACTTGTGGAGCATTGGCATGGGCAAGAAGGGTGGCTCTTGGTACGGCTAGAAAGAACCTGGAACGATTGCAGAGACTCGCATGCGTCTGCAACACAGGGGCTATGAGAACTTGTCCAACGGCCATTTCCAGGTTGGGGAGAAATGGAGCCGGATGTGAGACAGTGATGACGACGTGCTAAGGAGGTACAGCTTCGAGAAAAATTTTGCCTCGTTGCTGAGTAACAGAAGGGACTTTTCGGGCTTCCCAGTTGGAACACACGTTATTAGATGGTACGCAGATGGGTCAAAGACCAGTATTGGGACAGGTGCGGGGGTAATTGGGCCAAGGACCAAATTCTCCGAACCTATGGGAACTTTTCCGAGTGTATTTCGGGCTGAGTTGCACGTCATTGAAATGTGCGTGCGGTTCAGCCTGGAAAGGGGGTATCGGGGACAAGAAATAATGATTATGTCGGATAGCCGGGCTGCGATCGGAGCTCTGAACTCGTTTTCAGTATCCTCCACGGCAGTATGGGGCTGTCTTGAGAAGCTCAATGAGTTAGGCAGATGCAACCGGGTCTCACTGTGTTGGATGCCGGGCCATGTGGGCGTGGAAGGAAATGAGGCCGCTGATGCGTTTGCAAGGAAGGGAGAAAACACACCTCTTCTTGGGCCGGAGCCCTTCTGCGGAATCGGACCACATACTATGCATTTTGACGGGTCACTGCAGGCTTAGGGAACACATCAGTCGGGCCTGGAAAATGAGGATGCTTTCAGATTCTGTGGCGAGTATGGAGAGACCTCGGTGCGCCTCCTGGGGGAGTGTAATGCTCTTGCTCGTAGGAGGGGGTAGGTACTGGGAGGCTTTGCTCTAACGACGGCGGAGTTACGGTCTTCTGGTCCTCACAAGTTGCTTGAGTTCATCAGGAGGGTGGGTCTCGAGCGTGTGTTGTAGGGCATGTCCCGTACTCGGATGAGGGCGCACAATAGATCTTTATACGTGGTCGCGGTGCATTATTGCCCCCGTTATACAAATCTACAAATCTACAATATCCAAATCTTAAAAATAGTTTTTTATAAAAAAAATTAAATAAATTTTATGATTTAATAAGACGCATCAAAATGGTACTATAGGCAACATGTAGCGTATATCCTTGAAATATTTAAATTCGTTAGGGGCCATTAGAGTTGTCACTCTTTAATTTCAGAAATTATGTGAAAAAATAAAATTAGAATAAGTGAAAATCTTTTAAAAACAAAGAATCGATTTTTCGTTTTTTATTTTTATTTGTTTCACTTATTCAACTGAAATGAAAAAATGTTGAAGTTAAGTTTTATTTCCAAAAATTCTTCTCTAATGTCCTTGATATACTGAAATAATATGATTAATTACAATTTATAAATAATTATAAAGAAAATGTCAGGAGATCGATGCCAAATCATAGAAAAGAAATTGAAAAAAAAAATTAATTTATTCTTAATTAATTCAAAGGTGAAAATAAATAAATGAAAAAAATGAAGTCTCAAATCGGAATTATAATGAATCATTTCTGATGTAAAATAAAAATGCTCATGTATTTCTACATGCAAAGATTTCAGTATAGATTTTTGGTTAAATTTTCGTATGAAATAATCAAATTCTGGAAAATATTTATTACTAAAGTACGAAATAATTCGAATATAATTACAATAAAATCATATTCAACTTTTTGTTTTATTTTTTTAGTATTGTTCCAGGTATAAAGAAATTTTTAGTAAATTAAAACGTATGTGATTTGTCACAAAATACAACTGACTTTATGATTAATAAGGTGTACATATATATGCAATATATTAAACATCCTGCAGTGCCTCATTAAGAAGCAATCGGCAGAATTCAGGTCAGTATTGTTCGTAGCATTCGTTGATTTCGAGTGGACTTTCGATAGGCTGTGCAGACAGACTAGGAATCCCCCTTTTTTCCGAAGTGATCGAAAATTGCGAATTCCAAACAAAAAAAAGCAGGCTAAATTAAAGAAATATATAGAATACGGACAGCTATAAGGTCCTACAAAATGGAGTACTTAAAGTAAAAATGGAAAGAGGTGTCATGCTGGGTTACCAATAATACTATTCAACATCTAGCCATATAAGGTGATGAGAAAAACATTAATGTCACAAAGAGATATTAAGTGGTCTGCATAGCCCTTGTATCTCATACGGTTACTGGACATGAGCACAAAACTGACACACTTACCGTACTGAACTAAGCGAACAAGTCGAAAAGTTGGTCTTCAAAATCACCCAAGCAAAAACAAAATCACTCCCCATCGATGCAAATTTGAGTCCGTAGCTTGCTAGTACGAGTATCATAAGTATAAGTGGGGCAGCAGATAAGGATATCAAAAATAGAATTGAAATGGCAAAATGAACATTTGGGCGACTATGAGAGATCAGTAAATCAGCTTACTTAACCAGATCAACAAACTGAGAATATTCAATAAGCGCAATATGGTAATGAAACCTGGCTTGTACGAAAAAGCAACGCATAAGAATAACAAAGTTATTTCATATTTTACTAGAAATTAATTTAAATTTTGAATTAAAATAATTTGCAGGTATTTACTATAGAAAACTTTTGAATCTATTAATATGTTACAAAAATTTTTTTTTTTTTAATTGATTTTATTCTTTTAATTTTGTTGAATTTATTGATGCAATCAATAAATATCATATCAGATAATGGAAAATGTTCAAAAAAAAAAAAACAAATTAAATGGTCACCGCCAAAGTTCAATACTATCGCTACATGATTTTTATTAAACGTACCTTTAATTTCTTCATACCTTAATCCCAATTATAGCTACGTTGTTTAATTTCTTTCACCTTATATAAGTCAATAGCTTGTAAATGCTGAAATTGTAATTCTTTAATTTACTTAGAAATTATTTTTAAGTTCACCGACTCTTATTATAATTTCTCTAAATATTCGAGTAATATTAATGGAAATATTGAATGCAATAAGAGCTAGTTATTTAATGTATCATGTGTTTTACAATTTTTAGAATGATTATATACATAAATACTTGTAGTTTGAGTAATTATCATGTTACATGTAAAGCATACATACATATGTATATATAATTATTTGAATATTTATGAGTATTCAAAAACGAAAATAATCAGAATTGAAATCAATAATCAAAACGCTCTACTTTACTGGAAAAAACCAAAATGCGTTGCTCTGGAATAGTCAACCCTTATCAAACGTGGAATATCGGAATTTCAAAATTTCTAAAGCCACTCTCAGATGATTTTGAAAATAAAAGGCAACGCGAGTTTTAAATTACAACCATAACACTTTGACAAAATGTTTTCGACAATAATTGTTTTAAGACGTATTGATTCATTGTAATTGAATAATTGAAAAGGAGAAGGTGGTGGTGCCACCGTTTATTTAAAATATTTTTACAAAATCCCCTATACACATAATAAATTACCATATTCATCTCACCTCACATTCATTTCATATTCTAAAAATTTAATTTTCACCACAATTTAAAAATTCATAAAGAATACGCAACACACATACACACATATGTACCTACATGTTATACAAAAAAATTTTTTGTTTTTATATTCTTTATTGTTTACTGGTCAATAGTCTTTCTTTCTCTTTCGTTAATCAAAATAGAAATAAACCAAAAATCAAAAAACAACAAAAGCAAAAACGAAAGAAAAAAATTTAAATAAACAAAAAGAAAATAACAAGAAAAAAATTCGGAAAATTCAATGAAAATTATGTCGCCGCAATAGTTGGTTGTTTTCTTTAAGGGTAAATTCTAAGTTAATAGTTAACATAAATTTTAGTTACTTGACCAACGCGTAACAGTTCGGGTTAAACTGTTGAGCGAAAATTAAAGATTAACGGTTTAAATGTTATTATAAAAGAGACGGTTTCAGTAAAAAAAAATTTTTCAAAATTTTATTAAGTAAAATTTTTTTAATACAAAAATCAAACAAAAAAGGATCGAACATAAAGTGCATTTATATCATAAAGGATAGTACCTATATATAACGGAATAAATAGAATTTCAAAATGAAGCTAATGTTTAATAACTGTACAATGAGCATAGTAAAATATGTTCTATTTGCATTTAATTTTGTATTTGCGGTGAGTTCAATTAATCTCAAATAAAAATAGTATAGAAAATGAAATTGTTTCAGCTAGAGACTATGCTGTAGAATTAGGGCAATCTACCCGACCTTCATTTTTGTATAATTTCTTACAGAAAATTATAATATTGCTTCTTTTTTACACTGCCAATCTAGGTCTAAAATAGTGCTTCTAAATAGTGTAAAAAAAATTTTTTATTTCGAGAAAAGAATTAATTCGACATTTAACAGAAAATAGAGTGCTGTAAGCATGTTTTGATATTCCACTACAAAACACTATATTATTTTTGCTATTGTTCAATAAGTACAAAAGAAAATGTTCTTGAATTTAATTCGAAAATAATTACATATGTACTTCAGGACTTAGTAACATAGAAATTTTTCTGTAATTCATCTAATTACAATTTATTTGTTTTCTTTTCTATAGCTTGTTCTTTATTTCATACGAAAAGGAGCTTACCTTTAAAAATAATTATTATTTTCGTTTTTATTATATTATGTATTTAATTTTTAAAAATTGCATATCTTTAGGTTGATTGATAACCCTTTCAGGTCTCAATTTGAAATAATCGCTTTTCAGTTTACAAAATTTTTTCATTATACTTTAGTTTGACTTCTTCATTGCACGTAAGTTTTATTCCTTTTATTCGGTATTATAGGGCTAAAATATTTTTGCCATTTAAATATATCGGCCATTTATTTGCATATTATTATTATGAAATTTGACACTGTCGACACAATAATATTTAAACTTTGTACTTAATAAATTAGAAAAATAACTATTTTCAAATATTGACAACAAAATTGCTGATGGCAGTTGAGCGACACAAAAATTACATTGACATGTCATCAAGCGTCGGTATTATGAATACAAGAAAATTATGATATTTTTTACAATTTTCCTTTCCATATCTTTTACCTTAATTTAAATCATAATTACATAATCGATAATGGCAACATTAAAATAAATAATGAAAAAATTTTTACAATTAAATCATATTGAGAGCAACAAATGTTTCTCATTTTAAAAAGAAATTGTCAACTCATTTATAGGGTTCAATAACCTGGAGCAGACATAAATTATGTTTGATTTCCATTTGACAAAATTTAATATAAAAAATTTCGTTGATTTCCTACATATTAGGTGTATTGATTTTCCTGATTGCAACAGCCATATAAAAGGTGATAGTTTATTGACATATTTACAATGATTAATTAAATAATAATTATTAACAAATCCTTTAATATGCTTTGAATTAAAAAGAAGGAGGCAAAAGAACTGTTATAAAAAAAGAAAATTAATGTACAGCAAAAGTAATTGCACTTTAAATTTTATTTAATTCAAGTGACTAATGAGTCACACTGAAATAGTGTACAGCAATATCTTTGGAGTTTAAATTATTTATAAAATTTCTAACTTCAAAGAAAATAAAAAATTGAAAGAAAGTTTTTATTGAAAGTTACTGTCAATAAATTTCCAAAATGCGATTTAAATAAAATTAAGTTTAACATGAATTGCTAAAATTACTTTAAATATAAATTCGTAAATTAAATTAAAAAGCCGCCACCGCGTATAAAACTCAATTTCCAGCGCTACCAAAATTTCAAAATAATTAAAACAAAAATATCTCTTTAATTAAAATTTATTTAAAATTTAATTTAATAAAGTAAGTAATTTAATTATAATTTCTTAATATTTTAGATTTGAATTTTGTGTTTAAACAAATTGAAACAAATAGTTTAAAAAAAAAAATATTCAATAAAATTAAATAACAAATTACGTGGTAATTCAATAAAAACTTGTCAATCAGTCTTTATTTACTTAATAAATTAATAAATTTCATAAATAAAAATTTATTTAAATATAATTATGGATGCATGCGATTATAGATATGGAAGTCGGTTTCTATTCAAAATTTATTATTGAAAGAAAATCGATACATGTACACAAAAATGGTAGTGTTTAAAAATTAAAGTTAAGTAAAATTAAATTTCGGGTATAATTTTCATTATTAACAAAAAAATTTGGAAATGGCGTTGATCCTTTCAGTGTAATTTGAATGACTTCATATATTCTCGCCCCGAAATTATACTTTCGTATCTTACAGAATCATGAAAAAAGAACTAAACTCCAAAATCAAGTCGAAAATGGCATGTACATAAGTAAAACAAAATAAGCGAAATAAAACTGCAACGAATTGGTATTCCTTATTCCTCTTCCACAGGAGTATTGATGCCAGGAAAAATTATGAAACTATTTTTGTCATTTTCTAAGATATGACAGTATGAATTTGGGGCGGCGATATACTGAAAAAAAAGGAACTGTTTTAATCGTTAAACTAAAAGTTTATATTGTATATGTACAACACATTTTATTTGTGACTACACCTATTTTGTTTATATAAGTCGCTCAATTAAAAAACAAAAAAATTACGCAGTGTGGCAAAATTTTGTTTTGTTAATCTCCTAAGCACATCACACAATACCAGGCTATCATTTACACACTACGGCTATATTTACACACACTATCATTCCAGTGCCTCATAACATTGTATAATTTCATATTTACATCGACTTTTAAAATGTTTTGTATTACACTTATATATTGTAGCAAAAATAAATCAATTCCACTTTGATGTTAGTAAAATACATAACAACAAAAAACACTAGTTTCACACAAAATATGCAAAATTTGCATATTAAATTGCATGCATGAACTGTATCCACATAATCCACATAAATTTCAAATACCATTTGCTTAAAAATTTGTTAAATCGCTGCTACAATAACTTCTATGGGCTTACGATTTACTAAATCAAGCAATGAGTCGACTAATTTGTATATTACTTATTAACAAGACCTATTCTGCAATATTGAAATGTCAATACTACCATGTGCCGTATAAAAAATTCTTTTCTGCTTTAGCCAATAGCCTCGTTTAAAAACCGATTTATTGAAGCGATTACTGTGTGAAGATTTATGGTGGTATATTGGTGTATCGAACGTATAGAAAGCAAATGAGAGCAGAGATCTCAGAGGATAAAACATTGCAATAAATTGATAGAGGGAAACTATATTCTTTTGTTTTCAATTTGTTATCAAATTTATAACACCTATCTCATTTATATGACAACTTGAGAACTCGACTTGAAATCATCTCCAAACTTAAGCTCCTTTTTTACTATGTCAGTTAAAACCAAAAATGATTTGGCTATTACATTACAGATCATTATTAACATAATTTAGTGAAGCCGGCTTCACTAGAATAGGCCTCAAATACGCTTGGATCTGTCATATAAAATAATGTTGTCGTTATTAGATAATGAAATTTAAAAAATCCTAACTATTTAGAATATTGGACATTTATTAAGAATAGTTGAAATTATTTAAAATATATTAGAATTGAGGCATAGAGAAATTAAGTCTCCATTTACGTACAGTAATATAGGAATTTATACAATACAAGCATATTTCTCGTAAACATATACTGCGTAAAATGCAGTATGCCCGTATGTGTGCAATTACTGTAACGCGTCGTTCCAAGATTATGTCAAAGAATTTTAAATTAACTAACATTTTTTAAGTAAATTTTATTCCAACTGTCATAACAAATTAATCACTATCTTAATTGCGTTACTAAAAACAAAAAATGTCATTAAATATTTTAACTTTTGATTCAAAAAAAGGTTTACTCCAACAGAGAACGAAAACTCAATATTTCCAAGGTTTTTGAACGTAACGAAAATTAAAAAAAAAATAAAACACGCAAAAATAATTAACACTTATCGTATAAAAAGATCTTGTAAAAGAAAATCTTACCAAAAATCGACATTTTACTTTTGTTTAAAAATTTTTAAAATGAAGCAAAACTGAAAATGAAATCAAAAAATCTTTTAATTTCTTAAAGCTTGAAAACTAGAATTTTTCTTACGCGAAAAATACAACAAGAAATTGTAGTTTTTAATAATTTGCTATTGCGACACTATCTTGACAATGATTGGCAAGTGTGACTCAACTTTTTGATAAAAATCAGTTTAAATTTTTTTTCTAATTAAAATTAACAATTTTATTGTCATAACGAACTACGAGAATTTTTACTTTTCTACTTTAATAGCTTTCTGGATTAGGAATATTAATTGCTGGCGCACTGGTTTTAGCAGATGTCAATGAATTTAATCATTTCATTGAAGGTCGAGTGACAGCGCCACCAATTGTTCTTATTATAACAGGTACAATAATATTTTTGATTGCATCATTGGGTTGTTTTGGTGCGATAAAGGAGTCTCCGCCGCTATTAATTACGGTATTTTAGAATGAATAAATTTTATTTCATAAAATATTTGACAAAAAAAATTATACTTTTAACTATAGTACGCAGTACTTTTGGCTATAATATTCATAATTGAATTGGCAGTTGGTATTGCAGCATGTGTATTTAGAGCAGATTTAGAATCATCAATTAAAAATTCATTATTGGAAACGATCAGACGTTCAAATGATATGGATTTAAAAGCATGGGATAATATACAAAATAAATTGATGTGTTGCGGTGTTAATGACCCAACTGATTGGCAATATGAATCACGTTATAATCCAAGAATATTACGTGGTAGTTGCTGTAAACCAGAATTTACTGATCCATCAACAAAAGATTGTCAAAATTCACTAGTCCTAGCGAAGGATAAATATTTCCAGGTTAGTTAAATAAGAATTCTTCTTATATTTGTAAAATTAATTAATAATTTTTAAAATGGTAATATAGGAGGGTTGCATCACAAAATTAAAAGATCGTATCGACAGTAATGCAACAATATTAATTGGTGTTGGTATTGGTATTGCCTTCCTACAATTATTGGGTATTTATTTGGCATGTACACTAGCATCAGCAATTCGTAGAGAAAGAGCAGCTAATAATTAAGGTTAGTATAATATTTTTTTGTTTATGTTAAAAAGAACTTATTATGTGTATTTGTACATGTGTTTTTGTGCACTAATATTAAAGTATTGCAAGGTTTTTATTATAAAAAAAATCATGTTTCTTTTTATGTTAAAAGAAAAAGGAAAGTAGAACAATAATTTCCGCTTATTAAAATTAAATTTAGAAAGTCAAGAATAGATTAAAACTTTTCTTTATAAAAACAAAAATGGAAAGGTAAAAAAAAAAGGAAAATTGAGGACAACATAAATCGCAAAATATAGGTAAATGTCAACTGGTCAAAAATTATAACCAAAAATATTCTGTTTTTAATGGAAAACTAAAAAAATATTCATGAGGACACTAAAAGTATCCATTGGGAGACATGAAATATATGCACATATGTATGCAAATTAGCATATATATGTGTGTATATTGCGTTTTAAACCAACTTGAAGTTAAGTATTGGGCCTATTTGAATAAATGCAGTTGCCTCTTTGATCTTTATTTGACCTCGAAAATTTGAAATGATTTATTGTGATTTTTTACAGTTGAAAATTCTTTCAGCCGCATTTTAAGAGAAGATGAAATTTCACTTTTTAATTATGTTTTGGCCTTTTTTGCATTGTCATATACACACTTTTTGTATTGTCTACCAACAATATTTCTAATATATTTCTATAACATTTTATGGTCATTCTTAAAATAATAATGAAAACCAATAAGGTTCTAAAGAAAAATACTTAAAGTATTTATAAAAAATTAGTAGGTAATAAAGTTTAACCTTAATTACAACCTGAGATTTGATTTGAATTTAATTTGATTTTCTTTTAATTTTGTTGTATAGGCACTTGTACTACTTTTTATCACTTACATAGCAACTTTTAGATGTGTGATTCATTTTACTATAAATAGAAATTATAGAAAACTTTGAATTTCATTTCCAATTGGAACGAAACAGAAAATTTTAATAAATTTGTTTCAATTTTCGTTAACTTCTTTAACAAATTAATCTCACCTACACTTAATTATTTCGAAGTTTTAATTTTCTAATAGGCGTTTCTATACACAAACATAAATGGTTTTTATAATATATTAATCCATATATTAATAAATATACCAAATATACCATGCTTGATATAATCAATACAACCCTTAAGTAAAAAATCGAAAACAATATTTTCCCCTTACTTTAATCATTAAGCATTAAAAAATATTCCTATACTAAAATAGGAGTGTATGGATAATTTAATTATTTCGTTTGAATTTCGAAAATCGATATTTTGGGTTTTCTTTAAATAAATTTTTATATAATATACAGTCCAGGACAAAGTGTTTTTTAGGCACATGGATCTATGTTTGAGTGTAATATTCTTTTTATATACTATATAAATAATAATGGTAGTTTCAGTAAACACCAGTATTTATAGGTTTATGGAAGAAAGATTCTGAATCCAATTAAATAGCCGGATTATAATTGAATTTATTTTAATATTTTATTAGAATTTAGATCGTTTATTAAGCACATAAAACAGAGGTAAATCATCAACAAAGCTCTCTATCTATATCTTCATTCTCTTTCCAGTTGTCGCTTCTCCAAATTACCCAAAAATTTTAACTTTCGGCATCGTATTTCTTTAAATATTTAATTAACAGCTTAATGGTGTTTCTCGCTTTTTTACTTACTTCTTATTCACTTTCAAAAAAAAAGTGAAAAAATTTTGTTTACATTTTAGAAAAACGCGAGATACGCAATACCGAATAATTCATCTCATTCGAAAATTACATTATACAACTATATGATAGTTGCTCACTAGCTTCTCATTTGCCGAGTAAAATAGCAAGATAAACAATCAGGCCTTAAGTAATTGAAATTAGTATGAAACTGTGTTCATATCAAATTTTCACAATAGCAAAAAAAGTTATCATTAGAAATTTTGAGTTACGTAATTAGACGCTTAGTTCAGTATTTAGTCATTATTGTTGAAACAATCTAGAATTCCAATATTTTCTTATAATTTAAATTATTCTCATAAGACAACACAAGCACGGCCAACAAAATAAAACGTTTATGGTGCACATATCGCGTGATAAATTTAACTATGTAGTTTAAATAATTTATTGATCAACGTCCACTTTTAACTATACTGTATATTTACAAAAATATAAAAATAATATGAAAATTAAAATTTTTTTTTTTATTTTTAATTTTTTTTATTGTGTTTCAGGTGATTTAGAATGTAATACAGTGAATAGTATACGTATGGAAAGGAATATTAAGATCTTTATCACATTAAGCATATTATATACAGAAAAAAAAAATTATATGTGTATATACTATATATACTTGTATGTATGTATGTATATGGAAACTATAAAATTCACATCCTTCAAGGACATTGTTTTCGTTTTTATTAATTAATATATTAAAGTTAATCAGAATACGATTTTATAAATATTAAGAAAAAAAATTTTTTTTTTTCATTTTATATAAGTGAACAGACAAACAAAGAAACAAATAAATAAGTAATTTAATCAACTTCAAACATTAGCAGTTAAAAAGTACATAAATATATCATTAGAGATATATGAGACAAATATCTAAAATGGAAATATTCATACATTCATAGACACCTATATGTAATTTACCTTCATACATAATATCCTTACATACATAGCTCGTTTTATATGATAATTTTTTATCATTTTAATATACGCTCAAACAATTTATTATTTATATTTTAAAATACATGTATTTATGTATATTGTATATATGTATTGTTCATTGAAATTAAAATATTTGTTAGAATATTTTTTATTGTTAAATAATTATGTAAAGTGACTATTTATATACTTTTTAATTGAAAATTTGTAAAACCCCTCCACACATTTTGTTTTATTATATTAATAAAATTTTGAATTATTTTATTTTATTTTAAATATGTGCATACTAATGCACCGTATCTACAGTCAAATCATGATATATTGAACAAATTAAATATTGAATTTCAATGCTTTTCGTAATTCTTTGTTAAGAAAACTGTTATTGGTTATAGATGAATTTTTAATGTTATATTCAATTTTGGGGGCGTAATGCGACCGAAAAAACCAAATTTTACAATTCTCAAGGCATATAAGTGTGTATATAAATTTATATTTCATATGTTAAAGTTAGACGATTGTTTAAAATAATCTTTTGGCACAACAACAAAATATTGTTTATAATCATAAAACTGCAATTTTACAAATTTTCAAAATTAAAAAATATTTTAATAATAGTTAAAATATAATAAAATAATTTTTAAAAATTTAGAATATAAAAACAGATTATATGTATAACACACAAATTTAAAATTATATAGTATAACAATTCTCCAATTTACAAATTATTACATACTATCGTACATGAAAATATTGCCTCCTCCTCCTCCTAAATGTAAAAGCCTATATAAAAATAAGAATTTTATGTAAAAGTATAATTAAAATGTTAATGAAAATTTAAAAAAAAATATGACATTTAAAAAGTGCATTATATTTTATAAGATAACATTAAAATTTAAAGCAATTATTTAATAAAATTGATTACTTATTATATATATATATATATATCTCTAATTAGAATTATTTTATTTAAAACGGAAGAATAACTAAAGGAAAGATGGAACTGAGATCTCTTGTTATTTGTAATATAAGCGAGGTATGAAAAATTTTAAAAATTGTAGGTGGCACTGGTGTATAGCATGTAAGCTGTTTATTGTCGCTAATACTACATTTTACTTAATATGTCAATGTTTTTTAAACTATTGTTCATGTTAAGATTAAAAAAATATCAACAATTACTTTAAAATAATTGATTGGCAAATGTGAATGATTAACGCACAATATTTTGCTAACTGAGAGGTCAATTTTTCTAGAATTTATGGATTCGGTTTGTAAAAAGCCAGTACTTTCTGAAAAATACCGTTATTGAGACCCTCATTTTTGGAATAGTACAGTAATGTTAAGTGTGATAATGATGCTATTTTAACTTTTTTTTTATTATATTAAGTTAATTATTATTAATTAAATTACACACATATTTACAATCAATTAAACAAAAATAAAAAAAGCAATCATTGGAAACAAAATTCAATACTAATTTTTTATCTGAATTAAAATTAACAAAAATAAATGTCACTTAAAAATACTGATTCCTTAAAGGCTGACCAATCTTCAGTTAATAATTTTGCGTAAGTATACCCAACAAAAGTAATGTTTTTTGGTTTTCGGATCCATCCACTAATAAATTAAATTTGGTTTTTTAAATTTCAGTTCTCTTGCCGACATTACGCATTGCAACGAACATGAAAGTGAATATGAAAATAATTTTTTCAAGAAAATATTACCTTTGCAGGAATTAACAAAAAGTCAAGGTCATCTAACACTACTTCGTTGACATACTATATAAATATGTCTAAAAAAACCAAAATTTATTTTATTTTAATTATAAATGTTCTTGTAGGAATAATTTTGTATTGGGTTGATATTTCATCTGATACGCTTGCTTGGAAGCAATCAAATACTTGTCGATATCGACAAAAAATTAATATACCTATCGGTAGGCACCTCCATTTAATTTTTAAATACAAACTGATCATAATCAAAAGTTACTAATATAATGTTAATTTTTTTTAGAATCATCTGGACATGTTGCTGGAGCTACTGCTTTTAATAAAGCAGAATATATAATTCAAGATGTTGAAATATTTTCGAAACGTTACTCTTCAATGTTTATTGATGATTATAGATCAAAAACAAGTGTTTTATTTTATCCCATTCTAAATACAAACGATGATGTTCTAGCTGTTATTGAATTATTTCGAAATAATGTTGAAGAAATCTATTCAACAGTACCTACATAAATTTCATTTTTTAGCGATTTTTTCTAAGCGTTCCATAAAATTTTAATTTTGCTTTCAGAGTGACTGTCTTTATGTTTCTACTATTCTTAAATGGTTCGAGTTATCATTACAACAAGCAAATGAGATCTTGAAACATAAAAAGAAATACGAAATAAATCAGGCATTGTCAGCCGTTGCAAAGAATTATTTGTCAAATACCACAGACTTTTTATCATTTATTAACACAGGTTTAGTAAGTATAAGTGCTTTATTAATTATTTGTTAATTTTATTTGAGTTTTATAATTTAATTTGAAAAACAACTCATTTTAGAATATGATTAAAGATTCTATACAAGCAGAAAATATGATGTTCTACAAAATTAATTCGACTGGCGATGATGAGAATTTCAAAATGGACATTTATATCGAAAATTTAAAAAAAAATTTAAATGCGAATAAGACTGATTTAATATGGTGCAAAGAAGTTAAAAAGTAGATACATGAAGCAATAACTGTTTTTTATTCTTAAAACATTAAAATTGATTATGCAAATTTATTTATACACAGATATCCTGCTCAAAATAGTTATTTGTGTGAAATTCTTACTAAAGCTGAGATTATTTTTAAAAAAATACAAAAATCTGATTCAAAACTAGATTTAGACATCAAAACTTACATCAAACATAAAGTCAAGTCCATTTTATATATACCATTTCTTTATAATAAAATTGTGATAGGAGTGGCTGTTTTTACTAACCTAAAGCATTTAAATAACAGGGAAAACACTGTGTACTCAAAAGCCGAATTATCATTGCTAAATAATATTTGTTACTTTTTAAAACCAGGCTTTAGCTCTAGAAAACTACTTGAAGAATTAAGTATTGAGGTCAGTTCTTAAAAACGCTTAGTATCTCTAACATTTTTTCTATATAGTGAATAATTTTTATAGAAAATTCAATATAAAAAATGGAAAGAGGTTTTTTCTAATTCTTTGCTGGACGATCCACATTCACCTGACGATATTAAAGATATTAAAAACGTTGGAACAACATTTGCAACGTATTTAACATTAATAAAACATACTTTAAAATACATATATATATTAAAATTATATTGGCTAGCAATGCAACAATTTTGTGCTTTTAATTTAATTTTAGTTTTCAATATAATCCCGAGTTGGATTTGGACTTTATCAGTTTGGCATATTTCATATTTTGTAACAGCACCAACATTTTTAAAAAAAAAGGACTTAAAAAACTTATTTTAATTGCGAAAAGAGGACATTTAAAGAAAAAATTTCATAATTTCTATGCAACGTTTTTGTGCTTGCATTCAATGTATGTGATGATAAAAAAGATAGAAGAAACAAATTTTGAACACCTAAATGCAACTGAGGTTATTCGTTATTCTAAAATATTTTTTCAAAAAAAAAGGTTTTGACATCTTAATTTTTTTTCTAGAGAGCTGCTCTGTTAACGGTCTGTTTATTTATTGGTGTTCAAAATTTTGGCTACAGTGATTTCATATTGAAAAAAATTCATCATCCTATTTTTTCTATATATGGAACAAAATGCCAAAAGAAGTTTTCTTTCGATTTATTAAAATTTATCATTGAAAGGTTGAAAATTGAGTTTAATTGCTCAAAACAAGAACAAAAAACTTTTTTTAATTTAATTACTGAATTATTTATCGGTTATACTAACATTTTGGAAGACAAAATTATAGATAAATTGAATAAATTACTAGATAATAATGAATTTAAAATTTCAAATGACAACCATAAGAAGCTACTTCTTATTCTCATATTATTTTGCAATAAAAACTCACAATCAATTCAATTACCTAAAATTAGTTCAAGTTTAATTAAGGAATTAATAACAGAAAGAAATGAAATCGCTGCAGAATTGAATTCGGATGAAAATAATATGAATAAAATTCAATACATTCAAAAATATGAACTTCCATTTTTAGACAAGATTTTAATACCGCATTTTAAAGTTCTGGTTCGGATTTTTGCATTTCTGCTAGAAATTGTCGAATTGTCAGAGTAACTTAAATGTTGTAAGTTAATATTGAAAAAATATTTCATTGTTTTTCTTTCTTTGCAAGAAAATACCGTGCTGATTTAATATTTCAAATGGAAATTCAGGGAAAAAAACTATGGATCCCAAGTGAAAGCTGGCGAACAAAATCACTACAATAAATTTTATCACTACAATAAATTTGATGTCAAAAAATGAAATTTTAATCAATCAAGGAGAAATTTATAATCAATCTTTTGTATAATCAAATTAGTAAACGAAACGTATAATAAAATATAATAACATAATATTTAAATGAATAATCCTATTTTATTTTAACAAAGTAACTTATTTCAATTTGAAAAAATATATATTTCTAATAAATTTATAATTAAATAATAAAAGATATTTGCCATTTAAAATTTCTTAATTCCAATCGTTGTATTTGAAAGAATACTTTCGAAACAAACTCAATAATATATGTATTCATAGTGTATTGCATTTTATAAAGGGGAAAAAATTTTCTTTATCTTTACTAATAATATTTATTATGTGTACATACATATATTTTAAAAATGTTTTAAAATACAAATTTACTAAATAAATTTAAGAAATTTTATCTATCAATTCTTTAAAATAACCAATTTGCTTATATTCTCTTCGTTTAACCTCTTTTACAAATAGCACAGGACAATCTAAAGATTTGCAATCGATATTTTTTGATCTACCAACACATGATTGACAAATCTAAAAAATAAAATTAATATTAAAGTAAATTAATAAAAACTTTGTATTTAATTTTATTACCTTTTCTGTTAAAAAATAAGCTCTTTCAAGTTTAGATATTTTATTTTGTAATGTTATAACACAATTCTGAACATTCTTTGCACAATCGTTGCATATTTCATTCTTAGTTTGTTTACCACAATCAATTACACAGTTAGTAGAAGAAAAGTACTGTGAAATCGTTGTTTTCTTTTCTTTTGTTGCAAATTTTGAGTGATCTTTTGAATTTTTAATATGCTGCAATAAGTTTGTGTTCTTGCGAGGTAGTTCGGCAAACCTGAATGTATTTAATATAAATGTTAAAATTATACAAAACAAAAATTACTAAACTTTACCATTCATTGACATCAGCCCCAATCAATAAAAAGCATCGATTTAGTGCTGGTATTATTGCTTTCGTAATGTAATATATTGCATTAATTTTAAAACCTTCATCATTTAAAACATCATGCGGACATCGGATTAATCTTATAATTGGAACCCCTGGTGGACCATTTGTAACAATATATGGTACACGTTCTCCACGTCTTGGTTCTTTTCTGGGATCTGTTATCATCCATTTTCTAAATAGTCAAACATACATAATAAATTTCATATTTCATATTCATTTCTTGTTACCTTGTCAACTCTAATGCTGGTACACATGCTCCTGGTTTGTAACCAAATCTGCCACGGAATTCCTTAGCAAAGATCAAATCCTGCACATTAGCTTTGCCTTGTAAAATTTTTGTAAATTGGCGGCATACGTATAGTTTAACTTGACTAACATCTTTAGTTTGAAACAAAATTTTAAGAGATTTTTCTAAAATCTTAAAATAAATTTTAATTATATATAAGTTTAGAAAAATAAATATGTTTACCTTTACTACGGCAGGGCATCCATCTCTTCTTACTGTTTCAATACCTTTTGCTTCATAAATAGGTTCAACTTGATCTGGAGTTTCATACATGTAACCAACGTAACGTTTTTTAGTCTATAAAAAATGTTAAAAGTTTCTTAACAAATTAGGTAAAAATTTTTTTTTACTTGTAATATCGAAGGTTGATAAATTTTTTCCAATTTCAATTTTACTGGAAAAGGATTGTCTTTTGTAACAGCTTCCGCAATTTCTTCACCGATTTTAAAAGCAGTCTGTCTTGTTTTGCCAGGGCATAATATGAATAAAGAATCCGTATCACCGTACACTACTTCCGCCCCCCATCTTGGAGTTGCTTCAACTAATTTTATTGCACGTTCCAATGTTTCCCGGCCTTTGGCTACTACACTATCTCCAACTTCAACACAAGGCATACGACCACTAAAGTTTGCTGCTGTATATCCATAAGTCACATTTGCCATTAACTTCAATGCTAATTGTCTTGAGTGAAGTACTCTTTGCAAAATTTCATTTGATTTATGCAACTTCATAGATTGTTTCACCATTAATCTTGTATCAAGAATTTCTCGAACCATTTGCGGAAGAACTCCTTCTCGAATGGCTTGTTTGACAAATGCGACTCCACATGGAGAAATCGTTACCATATCGTAAGCCAATAATTTTCTTAACATATTTGTTGAAACTTTTAGCATGGAAACACCGAACTCGAATGGTGTTGATCTGAAAAATAAAAATTTATCGACTTTTTATAAACTTTTAATTAAGTATAGTTTACGATCCAAGATGTTCAACACGGCCAAGACAAGTTGAAAAACAATAATTATAAGCAATCATAATACTTGGGTAAAGACTTTGAAAATCCAATACAATCAAAGGATCTGCATAGAATCTCGACTGAGGCTCTAAAATTAATGGAAGATATTCAGGTGCTCTCATATGTAACCTTTGCTGAGGACTCGGTGACATTGGAATCAGATTTTTGGGTTTCGCTATTCTAAATACAGATTAACAAATTAGATATTCTATTTTCTCATATTTTTTCATTTACATACCGCAGCATCATACTCTCAACGCGGTATTGCGAACCTCTGGAAAGTATTTCATAAAATTGTATTCCAATTAATTTAGCCATTTCACAAGTTCTGCCAATTAAATCTAATTGATCTAACAGGTCCATAACACCATTGACCCGCTCTAAGTAATATTCTAACACTATCCACTTTGTTTGAGCAGAAAAATACCACTCAGTTAACTTTTGATAGCAATGTGAAGGGATTCGTCGATGTAATATATGATACATCACATTTTCAAATGAATAAGAAGTCAATGCTATTTCCGATCTTAGAAGCCTCCATACGTCTAACAATATTCTTCCATAAATTTTTGACTAAAAAAATCAATCTAATAATTTCATAAATGTTTGTTTTTACTTTTGAAACCAAACCTCGTGGTCCAAATCAGTATAACTTTCTTTTGGTTCGTCCTCTTCCACATTTTCATAAACTTTCTGCGATGGAACTCTTGATAATGATTGAATGTAATTAATGTTTAGATGTTTTGATCTGTCAAGAATGTACCCCCACGAGCTCATTTCAATCTCATATCCAGCTAAAATGTCAGGATCCCAAAAACGAATCAGCTCTAAAAGCAAATTAAAAAGTTGCAATTCAGAATTCGCTATTGTTACATTCCCTTCAATTCCAGTCATTTTAGGGTTCTTATCATCTGCTTGCGCTACTAATATATAACCTGATAATTTTGTAGGTATTTTATGATTTTCAGGCACATCATTTAAAATTGCATAGAATACCCCACATATTTCATCAAAAGCTGGATTTGGAAGCAAATTTCCTCGAGCTTTTACAAAAATTTCAAGAGACATTGTGGTCAAATAATAATGCTGAAAAATGTGAAAATTGAAAACGCATATCAAATACTTTCTATTTTACTTTACATCGATGTCTGCTTTTGCTTGTTGCAAATTTTCTAATCTAGCTTTAAATCCATACGTATTATCTAGAGAAGCTCCTGAAAGTCCAAAACTTGTTTCAGAAATTATACTTGCATTTCTTTTTAAAGATTTTCTTGGATTACTTGAAACCTAAAAAAAAAGGAATTAGAACCATGTTATGCTTGAATAAATCTTATATCTACTATTTGATTTTCTTTTTGTTTATTTAAATTTTGGCTTTTGAAAGTCAAAGCATCTTCCACGCTCACTTCATCCGATAGTATAATTTCAATTGGAACTCCATTTATAAATGATTCGTTTGATTTGGAACTTGATATTTTATCATCAAATAATGTTCTCGAAGAGCTATCGTTCAAGATATTTCTTTTATTTTCTTTAGGATCTGAATGACCACAGAACAGTTTTTTTTTACACTTAATCTTATTGTCATGTTGTAAGGAAATATTATTTTGTAATTTGTTTAGCGAAATTTTCTTCAAAGCAACTTTGCATTTTTTGAAATTTGTTCTACTACCAAGGGAAGCTACATCTTTTTTTCTAAATATTTCATTATCGTTTTTAATCAAAATGGTACTGATCTTTTGACGTCTAATTTTAATAGGACTATCATCATAAACATCTGGCATATTTTCGGCAAATTCAGTTTCCTCAACATTATTTTTGTGTGAATCTTTGATTTTATTTGAATCAACTTCAGCATTACAGTCAGTTTCGTGGATCTGTAATGGTATATGTAAAACAAGATGACCAACTTCTTTTCCTTTTCTAACATCATTAGGATTGCTGTAAAATGGCATTTGATTAATTATTTCAGGTGCAGTATATATTGGTAAATTGGGAGTGTCTTCTAAAGATTCATCGTTTTTTTCTTTAGAATTCTTAATTCGAACTTTTTCGGTATTAAGTTTGTTTTGTTTATTTTCATAATTTATATCAGTGTCAATGTCCTCGTCTGAAAATTGTAGTGGTGACATTGAAATACTTCTTCTTTTACTTTTTTTACTCTTTTTATCACTAGTTTGCGAAATTTCACCATGATTTTTTGGAATAGGTGAGTCTGCATCACTAAACATTGAAGGACTATTTACGAAAAACGAGACATCATAAAAACTACATATATTCAAATCTTCTTCGATGTCTGACTGAATACAATCTCCTACGTTACTTGTTTTTGAATTTTCTTTAGCATTTAACTTTGATGACGATTTTACGTCAGCATTTATTGCTTCCTTTTTTGAAATACTTTTCATTTCTTTGATTTTCAAACGCTTGCTTTTAACTTTACATCTTTTTGTTTTAAAAATTTTCTTGGCTAAACTTCTTTCTTCTTCTTGTCTGTTTTCATTTAGAATCTTACATTTTTCCTCAAAATAATTTTTGCCGTTATTAATGTTATTTTCTCTTCTCAATTTGTTCTTTTCAGAATTTTTTTCTTCTAGAAAACATAGCCCAAGTTCTTGCAGATTAGCGAGCACATGTGGCTGTGCCACTGGTTTACCTGTTATGCTTGCACTTTCAACTATATTGAAATCTTGATTTTGTCTTCTCATATTTATCGAATTTGCATCATTTTTACTTTTATCATTTATTTTGGATTTTCCTTCAATGGATTGATTTTCACTACTTTTACATTTTTCTATATCTACTTCAGAATTAGAAATAATAGAATCAATTCGCTTTCTTAATCTTGAGCGCATCATTTTTGTGCCCATGTTTTCTGAATTTTTATTTTCATTCCTTTTTGCATTTTTGCACAATATTTCTTGAACGATTTCTGAATTTCTTGATTCTGTCTGACAGTCTTGGGTTCTAAGTTTGTTTTGAGGTGTTTTATTTTTTGGTGTTTTAAGATTGCAAGTAACTTTTATTTCAGTTTTATCCAAATCTGACTTGAATTCAGAAATAGAAGAGTCACGAGATGTTAAAGAAGTAACATCATCTGAAATCAAACTGCCTTCATAATACGATTTTCTTTGCCTTCTTTCTCTGAATGAATACTTTCTTTTCCTATAAAAACAAAAGAAGAAATAAACACGAGGCTTCTTACAATATTCTTTCTTAGTTTTTTCGTTAAAATCTTACTTTCTTCTCAATATTGAACGATTGCTTTTATTCATTTCAGCAGAAGATGCAGATACAGCCTCCAAATCAGAATCGTTTTCACATATTTTTGACTTATTTGGAGAATATATTGTTATCCCTTGTAAGGGTTTATATCGATCGTACTTTATTGATCTAGGTGTTCTTGGTGTTTTTGGACTTCGTTTGACATGCGAGTGGCCTTTAACCTCATACAAACGTTCATTCTGGTCGTCGTTATTGATACACCTAGATACCCTAGGACTAAGTTTTGTAGGCGAAGGTGTCTTACTAAGTTTCGTGTGACAATTTTTTTTTGGAGTGCTGTCAGCTCCATCTACTTGCGGGAGGAAATTGTGATCAGCGTTTACTGAGGTACATTTTACTCTGGAATTATATACCCGTTATTTATTTATTTGACTAATTATTTTTTGTACTTGTACGTTTGGGATAACTTTGTTAGAATCTCTTCAATGTCTTCATTTGCTACCGTGTAATTATTTAAGCATTCGTCCTCTGAATCTGATTGAACTAAAAATAAGAAATAAAGAGTTTATTTGTAATTATTGTTATTATATATTTTTTTAATTACATTTTTGTGACAAATTATTTATTTGATCTTGAATATTTTCATCTTCATCGCTTAATTGTCTTAAAAATTCTAGAACTTCTTTGTTATCTAGAAAAAGCTACAATAAAATATTATATCTAACTCTTCAAACTTCAATCTTACAGTTTTGTTGCGATTCTGAGAATGGACCAAGAGAACTGTCCAGATCGATTCCGCGCTCTTCTTTATCTTCTTCTTCTAATTGCTTAATAAAATCTAAAACACCTTGTTCACAAGTACTAGTATCTACAAAAGTAATAAGGTTCATTGAAAAAGATACATTTTCCAACATTAAACTAAAAATATACCATTAAAACTAAAATTTTTGTAATGGTGCTGCGACAAATTTATAATTTCTTGCTCATTTAAAGTTTCTTCGTCAAATACATCTTTATTTAACACTTCTGTATCGTTCGTATAATGTTGCAGTTTTCTTGATTTGCTTTGCTTCAAATGATTTTGCACAATAGTTGCATTTAACAAATCATCATCTATAGGACACTCATCTGGATAAACTGAATTTTTCAAAAGCCTTGTGACGTTGAATTTCCTTTTCTTTTCGAGCGGACTACACGATTGAGAAGATAAAAATGAAATATTATCCGAATTGGATTCAGTTATTTGACAGCTTAATTCACTTAGTTTTCGTTCAAGAGCTGAACGATAAAACAACTCGCTGCTCGTTGGTTTAACGTTAAGTCTTTCATCAGGCTTTGGTATTTCTAGAACTGGTAACTGAAATAAAAATTTTATTGAAGTTGTCAAATTCGCAAATGTAGTTTTTTTACCTCCACTTTATTGTTCATTTTTATTAATTTTCTGCGTATTTCTTCATCTTGCCAAATTGATTCTATACCTGGGTTTATAGAAGTTTTTCCAGCAGCTATTTCATGTTCCAGTTCAATTCTATTTAAAATACTGCTTGCACATATATCAACTTCCAATTTCGATGTAGAAACTTTTTGGATTTTCTTGTCCAGAAACTGTTGTTTGTAGAAACTTACTGGCATTTCTTGGAAATATAAAAAAAAAAGCTTATTAAATGATTGAAATGTTCAATAATTTCAATCAGAGATTTTCATCGAACTACCTTCGGTTTCACGAAATTTTACATCTGAAAATGAAGCACGTAAAAAACTCATTGGAAAAAGATTGTAATCAATTAGAAATTGCAGCCTATAAGGAACATGAGAATCGAATGCTTGGAAACTTTTTCCCTGTAGAGCTCCATTTTGCAATAAGTTAGATGCTCGTTTCAATAACCTTGGATTATACATATAAATTTTTAAGAACAAATGTTCCTTCCTGTGGTAACCATAAAATGGACTAAAAAATCAAAGTGTTATTAAAATATATATTTGAGACCATTCTTTTAAAATTAATATTTTACTGCATTTACAATGCTTTTACTAGTTGGACATTGAATATATGATGTGTTTGAGATGACGATTGACCTAGCGATACATTCAAAGCTTTGTCCAAACTTTCACATAGTTCATAAATAAATTTATCCAATGACTCCTTGCCCGCATATTCGTAAGGAATATAAAAATATGGTAAGACTCCATGAATATGTAAACACGTTTTGATTCCATCAGATGTAGAACCAAAAATTCTTATTACTGGAACCTAAAAGATATAATATTAAATAAAAAAATTTTTCAAAACCATTACTTACAGATTTAATTTCTTTCCCTCTAAATTCTGAGAAGCATGAATCTAATCCGTAAACAGGTCGATTCATATAGTGAGAGACATCTACTATTCGTAAAGAAAATATATCGGAAGCCATTGCTCTTTTTGCTTATTTTTAATGTCTTACGATTATTTTACATAATATATTTTATTTGCCTATAATTTAAGCAAATTTTTTTTGTTGTAAAAATTAAATATTATTATGCCAAATATCAAAACAGCTACCATGAAAAAAATAACAGTGTAATGATATATGAAATGTCAGATTTAGATTACACGAAAACGATTGAGCATAGCAATCGGTTTACATATTGACATAACAAAAATAGTAGGGTCTTGACTCTAAAAGAGAGTAACAACTCACAGCTGACGAATTTACAAGTATTCATATGGGAACTGTATATATAAAGAATCATATATCATATGAACATTTTAATCTGAAAGACCAACTTTTTTCAAATTTTTAATTAAAAATAGATAAAATTCAGTCTTTTTTTACTTTACTAGTGCTTACATTTTTAAAGTTTTGTGTTATTAAAACACCAACATATTGATTTAAAAAAACCTTCTAGGCTCCGTTTATTTTTTTAAGATTTCAACACATGCTACACTGCAGAAAAAAAAAATTAGGACAAATTTTTTTCTTCGAAGTATTAAGTTGATTCTTGTGTAATTTTTCAAATTTGAGAAAATGTACGTTTAATATTAACAAGTTTGCTAATTTTGTATGACATGTCTCCTACAATGCATACTTTTTATATAATCATATTTTTCATGCGTATACTCTATTAATTAAATAAATATGCTTTGTAATTCATAAAAATCAATGCATTTTTATGACTTACATTTACAAAAGTCCATTTAATTCTGTTTAAGGATGTACATATGTGATTTAAGTTATATTACGATATATATTAACTTTACTACTAAAAACAATAACAACTAACATTTTTTATGGCAAAACAATTACAAAAGCACTATAATAACTAAAATTTAAAATCTTATAATTACAAATTTAAACTCTAACTTAATTTAAACTCTAAGTCCAAAATAATTTAATGTCGTGTATTCTACACTAAAACATATAGCACCAATTTTTTTTATACAGTGTATTATCATTTTTACTCTCAATTCTCTCAGACATGTTGCCTGACATGACAGTTCAAAAAAAGGCGGAAAAACTCGAAAATATATTTAATCAAAATTATAGTTAAAATTTCGAGTTGAAATTTAAATTTTTAATATGATACTCATAAAAGGAAATGGAAGTTACTCTTCCTACGCGGTGGGCTTATATTTATCAGAGCAGTGGTCCGGGTCTTGGTATTTTTATTATATTTCTGTCAGCCGTGGTTTACATAAACAAGGCAATGTCAATATTATAGGTATCAAACTGACATTTGTGGCAGTGTAGTAAACAATGTTTGTTATATGAATAGACAAATAAAACATAGACTGGCTGAAGTACAAAAAAAATTTTTCAAGAAAAATGAAAAGGCAACTGAGTTTCCATTTTTCTAGAAGGCTTCACCAATTTTCTCTGCTAAAACGAATAAAGCGAAACAAAATAAAGAAATTTACATTCTACAGAAAAATATAAAACTACGTTTAAATTAAAAACCGTGTTAAAAAAGAGCCAAAAAGGTTAAGCGAACGGCAACGGCGGACGATTTCCATTGTTAACTCAAAACAAGCAGAACGGCAAAATCAGAACGGTTCAGTATTTTGCATGTAATATCACGCACACATGGAAACAAGTGCAAAAAACCGCAATCCGTAAAATTGGAATTTAAGTTATCTTACGGCCGCCGGTTAAATTTTCGTTAACAGTTTCGAATTTTTGACATTTCACCGCTGAAAAGCATCAAAACTGGAATCGTTTTCACATTGGCATATCATAAAATATTTAGAAAACATATCATAAAATATTTGGAAAACATATCATAAAATATTTGGAAAACATATCATAAAATATTCGGAAAATAAGAAACTGTAGAAGTTATAAAAATTTAACAGGAAATATTCAACCACAAAAAGTTATCCCTGTGGTTAAAAAAAGGTTTTAAAATTGGCAAAATAATATGTTAAAATAAATCAACATCTTTGTCGGAAGATGGAATAAAAACACTAAATTAAAAATTAGTGTTAAATGTTTTTCTTTTAATAATGTACGTAGACAATTGTAAAAATAGGCACTTTGTGATTTAAAAATTGAAATGTTACGTAATGTTATGTACTATCAATCTTTCAATACTTGTACTATCAACCTTTTTTTTGTTTTAAAAATTTTTAAAATTAGAAAGTTGTCAAAATATATGTTCGTCATTATGTATGTACTGTTTAAATTTGATAATTATTTTGAAATTTGACGATTATTACGTATTTCTTAAAGTTTTTAAATGGTTTTTTAAACTTTTCTGTCTGTTTTACTCTTTTAAATCATTTTCTCTGTCTAAAGATTTTTCAAATTTTATTCCAGACAGAACCATTACAACAGTTAAAAAAAAAAATAATTGTATTATCCTAAACTGTCAAAAAATTGCTTTAATGTATTACATTCTGAAATTACTGTTCCCTGACATATTTCTATTTATTTTAACGCACATTGCCTGGTGGCTCGAACTCTTAATTCCAAGAGGGCGTGTTGGGAATTTAGTTCATTTAGATTAGCACTAAAACTTCAACTGCTTTAAATTAAGACTATAACTTCAGTAGTCATACTATACGGTATAGTCATGCTAGTGACGATGTTTATTTAAATAAGCGTTAAGGTACGATTTCAATGTACATATAATAAGTAATATGTAACTGTATTTGTTTCTCTCAATGGTTATTATAAATTTTACTTAACCTTAAATATTTACGCATAGAATTTAAAAAAACTCGTTTTTTTTTGAGTCAAAACTATTACTGAATATTATTTACAACAGCGTTTTAAATGAATATTTATATATTTGTGTATGGTATAAGCTTTTAAAAAGCGGTTTTATTAATTTACTTTCCCCTATTTTATACTTCTCCTACTTTTTCTTTTCTTTTTTACTTTAATTTTTTTCTTTTTACCTTTTCATAAGGGCGAAAAAGGGATATTTTATCCGGTTTTTGTTTTAAGAATATGCGCGGTAGTATTTCGGTTAAAACTTAGAAAAATAATATTTCTACTTTTTGGAATTAATGTATGTATACCGTTATTATCATTAAATATTTATAAATATTTAGGTATGCAGTTCTTTAAAATTCCAATAGTTGGCGTAAATTACTTCTTGATAATATTTTTAAACTATATAAATTGAGCTTTAAATAAGAAATTGGTTCCAGTAACACTTTTAACACCAATGAGGAAAGTAAATTTTAGATTTCTATAAATTTTTTTTTATTTCGTTATTTTTTAAGTTTTATTTTTTTCGGTTTTTTTACACTAAAAGGAGACAAGAGCAACAATACCAACAAAAAAAATAACAAAAATGTCCAGGATTCTATCTTCAATATGAAATATCAATCAAACAGGATATTATTAACATTTTTATATACAGTTTTATTGTGAAACAGTAATTGAAATGAATTCTTATGATTTTTATATAATTATTATTTTAAATAAAATGTACATGTATATTTAACAATATATAAATAAATATACACATATATATATAGACACAAACTAGATAGTCAAAATGTATATACTGAGACCGAAATTTAAAATATATTTAGAGTGTCCTCCTGCGATACGATAGAAATATAGAAAACCACAAAAAATTTAGACTAACGTAACACTTACCATTTTGAAAGTACTTAACACCGAAAATTAAGCATAAAAGTACATAGGTACTTTTGTGCTAAGCTTTAAAATATCATGTATACGTACATTCAAATTATATAGCTGCCATTTTTGTACTGATGATCTAAGGTGTTGCAAAAATAGATAGAAGTAATAGTAATTGTATTTTCCTTTATGATAATTCTTAATATTTCAAACAAAATTCTTAGGTCGTGATCGTGTATTTTGCGTACTCCATTTGTTCTAAAATGTATATGTATATACCGAATTTGTTTACTTTGTTTTTGATGGTAATAGATTCAGCCAATAACTTCGAAGAAAATGCAAAAATTCAATTGAAAACGTGAACAATCTTATTAGAAAAATGAAACATCATTAGAAAAAAGAACATTCTGATTTGAAAGTGAATAAAAACTGAGATGAAAAAGCCAGATGCACGATTAGGCTGATAATTATAGAGTTAACGTTTTAGAAATACATATAAAATTTTTATATTTAGAAACAAATTATTCCGATACCATAGAAACAAGGTGTTATCTGCAGTTAATGTAAAGCAGTTTTAAAGCGAATAATTATTTCCTAGTCTCCGCATTGTTTTAAAATTTTGAGTTAAATCAACAGAAACTTAATCATTTAATAGTTTTAACTAATAAATAATGTTAAATACGAGCATTTATTTATTAAATTTAAAATTAATAAAAGGACGTACATATTGAAAAAACAATTTTTATTACTTTTTTATTAATATTTTAAGAACCAAGTTTTCATAAAAACCTTTTTCTGTTTTCAAAAACACTAAAATAGTCCCTAAAATTTTTTGAACATGCTTGTACATATTTTAGTTTAGTTGTGTAACGAGCTGAAAAATTTTTATTTTTGAGTCTCAATCACGATATTGGCATTAAAATTTTCATCACCTTATAATGTTATAAAGGTTCATTAATAAAATTAGTTTTCAGATATGATTAAGGAATTCAATTTACTTGAAAAAGATAATTTTATTTATTTTGTTTAAATGCATGTAAATATTATGTTTATGTTACATTGCTTTTATAAAATTTTTCTATACTTTAGAAAGTGGACTTTCGTAAATTAAATTTCTTCGGTTATTATTAAGCGAATGATTTACGCACATGACTTTTACACTGTGCATATTGCTGCGGCACTGCAAAAACGTCGTTTTCTACGTTGGTAGCGACAGCGATACTAATTTAATAATTTTTTTAAGATGTTGATGTCGCATGTCGCAGAAATATAACTCACTCTATTTAAATCAGTGAATTGAATAATATTTTGACATATTCGTGCGATTGTCGTTGTCGCAGTAATGTAACAAGCATTAACAATTCCTAGCCTTTTATAGATCATGTTCATATGTCGGCCTTGACGCCATTTATTAAATAATTAATAAAGAAATAAACAATTAATGATTCGTTTTATATTTGATAATC